GGAGGAAACCTACGCGAATGCAGGGAGAAACTCCACACAGATACACCAACTGACACAGGCAAGGCTCGAACCAGCGACCTTCTTGCTGTGAGTCAACAGCACTACCTACTGCGCCACTGCATTGCCCTAGCGTAGTGTATATATATATATATATATATATATATATATATATATATATATATATATATATATATATATATATATATATATATATATATATATATATATATATATATATTAGTGCTGTCAATCGATTAAAAAAATTAACTAATTAATCACACTTTTTTTTGCAATTAATCGCAATTAATCACATTCAAAAGACTGAAACTTGTAATTTTGGCTATTCAAATGTAAAATGAACGTAAACGCAAGACATAAACTATTTAACTTTAAAATATAATTGTTTATTAGAATTTTTGTTTAACTTGTAACACAGATTTCTTCATGTAAACAACATACCCACAATAAACCATCAAGATCCTGGCTTGACAGCCATATTTATTACAGAAATAAAAGCATAAGCATGTAAATGCCATTTGAATTTCAAAACAATCAATACCAATAAAGAAGAAATTGATTTCCATGTTGGATTCTAAGTGGACTGAAAAAAATGCCAAAATACAGGCGTCGCAAATATGAAAATTGGAAAATTATAATAATAATAATAAAGTATTGAACAAACAATTGTACTCATTGTAAAGTTGTATTGCTGTGAGTTGAGAACATTAATTATAAAGTAGATTCAACATGCATGATTCCATTTATCAAATTTGCTTAAACTGAGCGTTCTTAATTATGGCTGTATTTCACAAGGATTCTGACACAGCAACATTAAGCAGACGCTTTACAAAAGTTGCATTTAAGGGGGAAACACGACAGAATGCGCTGTCTATGACAGCTCGCGATTTCATGTGTAAATTTACATGGACACCGCTTTTAATATGATTAAGATAATACTCTTATTAAGAGTCTACCATGTAAGCAGCGATTTTTGATTACCTTAAAGGACCACCGAGTCACGAAATCCAGAGGTTTTTCTTTCCGTTCGGCATGTGGTATCAAATTCCATTAAAACAAAAGTTGAAAGATTAAAAATGAAACATATGAAATTAGATGAATCTCTGGAGGAAACGCTGGATAGGCTGGTAATGCGACATCAATTGTTTTACACTGAAACTTTCCTTCTAAAAGCACTTCCTTGGTCTTATCCATATTTCTTTGCATGATAAACACACGTCGGCCACAACAGGAAAAAAAACTGCAACTGTGTTAATTGCGTGAATTTTTTAAATGTTATTAAATATTATAAAAAAATTCATTAATTGCATGTGTTAACGCAGTAATTTTGACAGCACATACATATATATATGCTAAATTGTCCACAAATTTCTGGGAATTACCGGCACAAAATAATTTTTCTCACAAAAAAAAAAAATGGTGAAATACTAGGGAGTCTACGCTATTTATGGAAACTACACACATTGAGAAATGCCTTAAGTTAACTAATTTTAAATCATGTTCTTTTAAACATGACATAATTTCTCATTGAGGTTGAATGGATCAAAAATGTAAAGTCTGTCATGCTCTCAATGATCTCCAGCCATATGTGCATACAAAAATATCCACTCACCATTTTTAATAACAATATTAACATTAATTTCACGATTACACTATTTCTACTAGTTACGGTTGAATTGGGCTATAAAGCCTTGGTAATCAGATCTAATCTAACGTCAATGTTTCTTTGTGCTTATGCCCTCCATGACTATGAATGAGGTGTATATGTGCTGATGAAGAAGGGGAAAAAGGAAAGAACGAAAAAAAAAGAAAAGCGAGAAGAAAAACAGGAACTCCCTAAGGCCTTTCGTGGGTTACACAAACAGAAGCAGTACCTGAGAGTCCCTTTTGAACCTGGCATCAAACAGACGCATGTACATGGAAGCACATACCTCCAGATCTCAGGCCATTGGCCATTAATGGCAGAGCTCACGCAGACAGGAGGATCAGTGTTGAGCAGCATTTAGCCCTGTTTAGCACTCCATTTGGGCTCAAATAAATCAAGGCTGTTGGAGAGAGGCCTCCATTATGAGTGCAGGGGCCCCGCCGTGAGCTGTCATTCACTGGCCAACCACCTTCACCTTTCAACTGCTAATTACAGGGAGCCACACAGCTCAGTCAAACACACACACACACACACACACACACACACACACACACACACACACACATAGAAGACTTTTTAAAGCTCTCATACTAGCAAAAATATTTGTGGGAAACACAGACGGTCAGTGCACTATACAGTAGACCTCAACATGTCTCTCTTTTCCTCAAGACGTCTCGCTGAACCTGAATTTAGAAGCGTTTGGCTTTCGCTCTATCTGCATGAATAAACAGTGAATTCTCAACTCGACTTGATTTATTTATAAAGCACTTTCAAAACCACAACTTAAAAAATATATTAAAAAAACAAAACCGAAAAAACAAATGACAAGTTATGGGACTTTACTATTTCAGAACAGCAAACTCCACTAAAGGAGGTCGAGCCTTCTCATTTATGGTTCCTAAACTGTGGAATAGCCTTCCTGATAATGTCTGATGCTCAGAAACACTCTCTCAGTTCAAAACTAAATTAAAGACCTATCTTTAAAATCCATCTATATATCTATCCGCAGCTGAGTGGGATTGACAAACCACCTGTAGGACGCACTAGCTCATCTTAATGCACCATGCACTTTGTTAGAAATACTTCTATGTTTTATATGTTTGTTTTTATAACTTCTATTTTCATTTATAGCACTTCATATTTGCACTGACATTTAATATCTTGTTCAAATACACTATGAACACCAGCTATGCTAATTATTTTCTTTGTTCTCTATCTCCACCTGGGGATGCCCATCCCAAGTCCTCTAGAGTTTGTGCAGTGCCACATTCAAGACTTGTTCTTAATGTCTACATTAAAAGGTCCAAATCTCAATTTTTATTAAGGTTAAAGGTCTGGAACAATTGACATTGCATAACTTGTTTTAAAAAAACATCCATAACATGCATCACTAGTCAAAACTTGTGATGGAACTAAGATTGAATTGAATAGCCATAATGACCAGTGTTACATTTAGAGGACAAAGGGGAAAGCTTACAAGCCTAGGAACACTATCTCAACTGTGAAGTATGGGGGCAGCATCATCATGTTATGGGGCTGTTTTGCTGCAAGAGGGACTGGTCCACTTCACAGCATAGATGGCATCATGAAGACAGAACATTGTGTATAAATACTGAAGCAACATCTCAAGACATCAGCCAGGAAATTAAAACTTGACCACAAATGGGTCTTCCAAACAGACCATGACCCTGAGCATACTGTCAAATTAGTTAAAATGTGCTTTAAGGACAACAGAGTGAATGTTTTGGAGTGGCTATCACAAAGCCCTGACCTCAATCCTATAGAAAATTTGAGAGCAGAGTTGAAAAGGCTTGTGCGAGCAAGACAAATCTGACTCAGTTACACCAATTCTGTCAGGAGAATTGGGCTAAAAATTCCTTCAAACTATTGTGAGAAACTTGTGGAAGGATACCCAAAACATTTGACCAAAGTTATACAGTTTAAAAGCAAAGCTAAATAAATATAAAGGAAATGTCTGTAAACTTTTGACTGTCTAGAAATTAATAAAAAAAATCTCAAAAACAAATTCTCTCATTATTCTGGCAATTAGGGAAAGTAAATCATTTAGGTAATCCTAACGGACCTAAAATAGTAAACATTTAGTATGATTAACATCAGACATTTGTTTTTAAAAAATGGTTATGTTCCTTTTTTTAGAGTGTGTGTAATTTCTGGTTTCAACTGTATATAGTTAAGGAAATGTACAATGTTTTATGTTTATTTTATAGTCATTTGACATTCTATTTTTAGTTACTAGTTATAGTTAGTTACTAGTTAATTAGTTACTAGTAATAGTTACTTTCCCTGGTAATCAGTAGGCCCACATGGAATCTGTGCGCGCAGAATTCCGCAGATTTTCCGCAGATTTTCCACAGAATTCCACAGATTTTTTAGCCCATTATAAATTCTGTTTATTTACTTGAGTAAATGTGTAAATCTGAATTTATTCAGTTTTTATTCAGTTATTTATTAATTTTAATTTAATATATTAAGGTTTTAGTTATGATACTCCGCTGGATACTCCCAAAGTAATTCCGCAAAAATCCGCAGATTTTTACCAAAATTCTCTGCAAAAATAGCAAAAAACGTCCGCAGATTCTGTCTGGCCCTAGTAATCAGTTACTTTTATAATTATGAAACTCAGTTACTATTTGTGAGAAGTAACTAGTAGCTATAACTAATTACTCTTTTAAAAGGACGTGCCCAACACTGGTCAAAACTAATTGCATTTCTGGTCAATAATAATCATTAATATTATCAAATTTTTATTTAATTCCTGCAGAACTTTGTTCTAGGTTTTTCTAGCCAAGTAATATCCCCTTGAGAATATCCCAACAGAAAGTGTTATGGCAAAGGACCAAACTCAATAAAAGTTTCCAAATACTACAGTTGTCTGAAGAAAGAATCCAGATGCAGACAATCACACTCTTTCATATAATACTCTACATTATACCGCAAGCTGTTAAGTTCAATTAAGCAACCAAACATTCATTCGTTACTAGTTCTGAAGTGACATTTTCAAATTAATACCAGATGATTGGCCTCATATCTATCTATCTATCTCCACATGGACAATTTGAAAGACGTGTATCTGAAACGTACAACAAAACATACCCCGAGTAATAGCCACTTTATAGTCACTCAAGATTAATATGAGATTGTTAAAAAGTGAGCAAGTTACATTCCCTTTTAAAAGTATTGAAATACATTATATTGCACATTTTGTTAATTGTCAGTCGTAAAGTTTAATAAGGGGTGATCAAATCAAATGACATAGGGTATGGGTGAGATTCAGTATGATCAGTTTAAAACATGTGCAAAAAAGAGAGCGTCTTACCTGACGGTACGTTCCCTCCATCAGTGTGTCCAGGTTTTGAAGTGGCCCTGGAGTTTTGTCTTTAAATCGGGTCAGCAGACGGCGCTGGATGGCCCTAAACTGGACTGCCCTCTCCGACAGTAAGTCTTGATACTTCTGTGCATTCACACGGAGCTACAATATTAACATCAAATAAAGGAACATTACTCAGATGGTAACAATTTAACCTCATGGGAGAATTTAATAGGCATGCCACTACATCTTTTCATAAATATATACAGCTAATAAGAATATTGGGTAACACTTGGTCCTTATTGCACATTTTGTTGACTAAAAGATACATTGCAACTCCATGCTAATTACTTTATAGTTTAAATTTGGGTATTAGTAAACTGTCTGCTTAATATGTTGATACTGCTACTTCAACAGACATTTAACTGACTATAAGAAGCTTTGCAATACATGTCAATTTACACTAACCCTAACCCTAACCTAACAGTCTACTAATAATCTATTGAGAATTAGTTGTCATGTAGATGCAATGTAACTTAAATTCAACAAAATGTGTTAAAGGGATCATCAAAATGATGTGACACCAAATATTGAAGATGGAAATTATATTCAATATTTAGTATTTACTGTGACAAAAAGATTAACTCATTAGCCCCTTTCACACATACAGACCTTTCCGGAAAATTGCCGGCAATTTTCCGGAAAGGTTGTATGTGTGAACAGGTCCTTTTTGAAAATACCGGTAAATTTGTTCTGGCTATTTTCCGGAAAGAGAAGTTGTAACATTAGCGGCAATTTGCCGGAATGCTGCGCTGTGTGAATGCAGAAGGAAGATTCCCGTAATAAGCGCGTGCACGTCTAGAACGTGCTGACGTGAGACGTCTGCTTTAGCCAATCACAACAGTCAGACGCATTTACGTCCGCGCGGTTTGTGAGGATAAAAGCCTTTGAATATTTTTCCAGACACATTTAGCTGCTAGAAGTTAGTCAGATCACGTTTATATGTTCTTCTTAATGCCAACTGTGTAAATAATCATCGATGAGATGCTTATGACAAGCCGTTGTTTGTTTACCTTCAAGATTTGCGTGCGCCTATGAGCGCCGCACACGCACATATTATGAACATCTCGACATGCGAAAGTGATCCTGCGAAAGTTGTTCACAATATTGATCATCCACAGAGTTTGTAATTCAGCCGAATGTTTACAAATACAAGCGCAGCCGTTTAAAGCTCATTTGTGGTGAATGATGTCAGAATTTACTGGTATTTTGGAATGGATGTGTGAATGCTCTTTTCCGGAAAATTTCCGTAACGTCCTCGTCTGTGTGAACAGCGCTTTTTTGAATATACCGGTAAAGTCGTTCCGGAAATTTTCCAGAAATTTACCGGTATCACTGTGTGAAAGGGGCTATTACATGCATTTGAGATACTTTCTATTTGTATAAATCACCTTTGAAAATTTAATTTGACACAAAAACTAAACATCTTCGACCAACAAACCAAACAAACTTGACTGCGATAAGCAAGCTTCCAGACTTTAAACAATCACTAAATGCATTACAGAATTTTACGTTTTTACACACACATGCACAAATAGCACATAAAGCATCAACCTTTCACATCCCTAATAGTACTCTTGGGTATTTTAAAAGGTCTACTTTTTACTGATACTTTGAATAATGTTTACAACAGAAATTTGAACTCTACTTGCACTGCATTTTTTGTGTAAGTAATGGCACTTTTACTTAAAGGTTCACAAAACCCTCGAGTACTTTTTTTGAGATTTTAACAGATTTGTGTGTGCTGAGCATCAGTTAGGACAATGTTAGCACCTCTTAGCTTTAATTTTGAGCTTTTGTCAGCTAATTTCAGCTTCCGGGTTTAAAATGACTTTTGGGGTGTATCAAAATCGGAGACATAGCGCAAAACTGCAAGTGCAAAGATGACGCGTCGGTTCCTCATTATTATTCATAGCCGAGTTTTCTTATCCTATGAGAAGAGCCGGCTTCTTAATTATTCATGACAGCACGTGCTTTCCGAAGGCAAGTCAGAACTGCCAGTGCCAAGCTGCGAGACACGGACCCACGGCACACAGTATTTAGCGGTACATGAAGGGTCATATGTGTTTGTTTCCATGATCCACAGGGTTCGTCAAATGTTTTTCCCTGCGATGCTGTCAGGGCCGATACAGCAAAGCTGTTTGTGTGTAGCATTTTTGTCAAGAGAGCAGTACGAGAATGGGAAAATGGCGGACGTTGTCTTTTATCAGGAGTTAGTTCACGTTTAGACACATCAACGTGCTGCTGTGTATGCCTAAATCCTCTCGATTACCAACAGGGCTAATGGTTAAAATAGACAGGGTTAACGCTGAGTCTGCATTCAGGCCTATGATTAAGACCCGGGGATTGAGGGAAAAGTCCTCATTGTGTTTAAATGAACAGGATTATCTTTATAATGATATAAATAGTGGTTGTGTGTATATGAAATTACGAATAAAAATGTAGGAGAGCATTAAATCACCGTTTATTTATTTGCATTTTAACATTGTAAACTATAAAATCATGCGTCTCCTCACGGTTTGTGTCTCATTTTGTGAGCCGACTGACAACAGTTGTTCGCTCCTCTCCTTCTCCCCTGCTGGCCACGCCCACTCCTGGCCTTTGCTCGCGGAGCTCCACGCCCATTATCATGCATCTTTTGATAAAATTCTGAGGTAGACTTGAACCGATAGTAGGGGGTGTCATGACCCTTTAAGTCTGATTTTTCAGTACTCTTTCAACCACTACAAGCAATTCAGACTTCGCACCTCAAAGTGGTGGTCCACGGTCTCAAAGTACTCAGGCAGTGGAATGGGTCCAGTGAAGCTGTTTCGAAAGTCTTTGACTCCAAGGGAGGCAAAGTGCTGGTCGAAACGCTGCACCAGCTCCTTGGCCACCAGCCAGATATCCTCAAAGCTCTCGCTCTGGATCCTGTAACGCTCTGCGGAGAGTCAACACACACTCACATAAAGACAGAGACAGAGACGCGCTATCAGCCTTCCGTCTGCCGCACCTGTAATTAGCTCATGACAACCTGAAACAGATCACAGGGCTTCCTAGCATGATGGATGTGAGTGGTAGTGAAGCGTGTGCTGGGAGAAGGGGGGTGTGTGTGTGAAAGTGCGCATTTATGTGTGTTCATGAAAGACAGACAGAAGAAAGGGAGAGATGGAGAGAACAAGATGTCGATCCACACTGGCACCACAACAAAACTTTCATTAAGGGATTTGACTGACCGCTTTGTTGTGGAAATAATCAACCACAGTGGCTCGTTCACTTCATAATTTTCCCGATTCTACTAGCTTACAAATTTCTGCACAGTCTGGTCATGTTAAAGAGATAAGTCAGCCAAAGCTGAAAGATCTGTCAGTGTTTACTTGCCCTTTGTTGAACACAGAAGAAGTTATTTTGAAAAATGTAGAAAACCAGCAACCATTGACCACAATATTATATGTTTTTCATATTATGGTAGACAATGGTTACAGGTTTCTAACGTTTTTTTTAAATATCTTCTTTTGTGTTTAACAGAGTAAACTCTTAATAGTTTAAAAGCACTTAAAAGTGTTTTTTGGGTGAATTGTCGCTTTTTTTAGTCAACACTGACTATAAATATACACTCGCCGGCAACTTTATTAGGTACGCTTTTCTAGTACTAGGTTGGACCCCCCTTTTGCCTTCACAACTGGCTGAATCCTTTGTGGCAAAGATTCAACAAGGTACTGGAAATATTCCTCAGAGATTTTGCTCCATATTAATATGACAGCATCACATAATTGCTGCAGATTTGTCGGCTGCACATCCAGGATGCGAATCTCCCGTTCCACCATATCCCAAAGATGCTTTATTGGATTGAGCTCTTGTGACTCTGGAGGCCATTTGAGAACAGTGAACTCATTGTCATGTTCAAGAAACCAGTCTGAGATGATTCATGCTTTATGGCATGTTATTCTGCTGGAAGCAGCCATCAAAAGATGGCTACATTGTGGTCTTAAAGGGATGTACATGATCAGCAACAATACTTAGGTAGGCTGTGGTGTTGACACGATGCTCAATAGGTACTAATGGGCTCAAAGTGTGCCAAGAAAATATCCCCCACACCATTACACCACCATCACCAACCTGAACCGTTGATCCAAGGCAGGATGGATCCATGCTTTCATGTTGATGATGCCAAATTCTGACCCTACCATCCTAATCCACAGCAGAAATCGAGACCAGGCAACGTTTTTCCAATCTTCTTTTGTCTAATTTTGGTGAGCCTGTGTGAATTGTAGCCTCAGTTTCCTTTTCTTAGCTGACAAGAGGGGCAGCTGATGTGGTCTTCTGCTGCTGCAGCCCATCCGGCTCAAGGTTGGATGTGTTGTGCATTCAGAGATGCTCTTCTGCATACCTCGGTTGTAGCAAATGGTTATTTCAGTTACTGTTGCCTTTCTATCAGCTGGACCCAGTCTGGCCATTCTCCTCTGACCTCTGGCATCAACAAGGTATTTGCACCCACAGAGCTGCCGCTCACTGGATATTTTTTCTTTTTCGGATGATTCTCTGTAAACCCTAGAGACGTTTGTGTGTGAAAATCCCAGTAGATCACCAGTTTCTGAAATACTCAGACCAGCCCGCCTGTCACCAACAACCATGCCACGTTCAAAGTCACTTAAATCACTTTTCTTCTTTATTCTGATGCTCGGTTTGAACTGCAGCAGATTGTCTTGACCATGTCTACATGTCTAAATGCATTGAGTTGCTGCCACATGATTGGCTGATTAGAAATGTCCATTAACGAGCAGTTGAACAGGCGTACCTAATTAAGTGGCCGGTGAGTGTATGTGCACAAGGCTATTATTTCCTTTCTTTTATAAAGTTAAGGATTATTTGTTTTATTTGTTTGTTAGTTGGGTTTTTTGCAATACCGATACTAAATCAATACTTTTAAAATAGTACCAATGGCTAAATGGTGCCTGAACTGACACTTTTTAAAAAATCACAAAATGATGGTTGATGTCATCATTTTACCAATCTTTATATTTAACAATGTATTAAAAGTTTAAAGTAGTGTCAGCATTGTTAGGGTGTGCGCTGACATGCAGAAGCATAGCTATTTGGACATCCTGAATATAATCCTGGTTAGAGGACCTTTCCCAATCATCTCTCCCCATTTCATTTCCTGTTGCCATACTGTCTTATCACAATAAAGCCAAAACGTACACATTAAATTGTTTTTTTTTGCTTGCTAAACTTGCATTATATAAGCAACTTTGGAATATATTCACAACTTTTTAGACACTTATTAGGATGTCTGAAATTCCCCCCAAAAATATTATTAAACATTAAATAACGCTAAACATTTTTGGTATTTTAAAGTCACGTGTGTGTTGGTTTGTGAAAACTTACGGGACGTTTTGGAGGCAAGAACAATGACCTTGGAACCTGTGATGAGTTGGAAGCCCAAAGCACTGCTGTCATTATTATCCGACTTTTCTGAGAAATCTAAACAAAACAAAACAAAACAAAACAGAAACAGTTCAGTACACAATTCTTTTTAGCAATGTCTGTTTTGAGCTTTGTAGCCCATAAAAAATGTCACAAAATGTGCAACCCAGGCCCAGATATGTCCCCCTTTATACATTTCTGGAGAGCACCAAATATGTCCCAGGAGGTACATTTTTTTTCTTTTTGCAGTTTTCGTGAATCTACCAGAGGCTGCTGTTTACCCTTTTTAAATCACAAATTTCTCCTGCGAGTTCACACAGAGGTAAGCATTCAGCTGCTAGCATGAAAAAGAAAGGCATCATACCGCCCCTTAGCATTCGTTTTAAAGACGAAATGCAGCCATATGCTCCTATGGCTACATAGTTTGCAATCTCCAGAAATGTATATAGGGCTACACTTTCAGAATGAGAATATGTTGTAAAACTTTTTTTTTTCTCTTTTTTTTTATTGGATTTTGAGTCTGTAATAAAGTTTGATATGATTTAATTTCACCTTAAACACAGTGTAAGCATCTCTTTAATGTATTGTTCTTTTATTTGGTAGTGTCTTTTTTAAAGAGCACAGACAAATTGCCATCTTTCTGCGTCTGTCTGTCCCTCCTGATGGCTTCTGATTCTCCTGCAGAGTGGCTGAACGGATGTCAGACAGAGATAGTCTCTTATCAGCACGCAGGACGCCGGAGCACAGCGGATTGCTCCTTATCTGACCAAAGCTCGGGCCTCACTTTATCTCAGAAAAAAAAAAGGCTTTTCTGAGCCCCGTCTACAGCACTCACCATGATAACAGAACTCTGACTCCACCGCTCACCAATAACATACAAAACTGGGAACTATGCTAAAGTAATTATACTCTGTTTTCTGTGCTATCCGGATTTCTGGTTCCTTCCTTTATGGTTTTCTGGTATTTTGGATTTAAAAGATTTGTCTATAACCCATGGCAATGTTGTTTAGTGTCATTTACTGATCCTTTTTATGATTTTTTTTTATTAAGAGTGCATTTTAAATATTTCAAAAGAGAAATGTGAGAATATGCTTTTTCTTTTTGTCATATCAATCCCCTTATGCGTTTGAACACAAATTAATGTATTTTAGATTAAACATGCGTGCTCTCTAATCCTGCATAAAAGCAAAAGTCCCAAACTGTAAAAAAATAATAATAATAAATTGTTAAAACATTTCATGAGACATACAAAGTCATATGAAGCCCCAAGAACAATTTTCCATATCAGATTAGGCTGTGTGTTTATTACAAGCAATACCTTACTTGAATTTTGCACTGCAGAAAATAAGCATTGAACAGGTCACCATTTTTTTAAGAAAGCATATTTCTAAAGGTGCTGTAGACTTGAACTTTTCCCCAGATATTGGTAAAAACCAAAGAAATACTTATATGCAAAGAAAACAAAACTAATTAGTTTACAAATGAAGTTATGTGTAATAAAATGAAATGATGCAGGGAAAAAGTATTAAACACATGAGGAAAGTGAGGTGTAGAAAGGCAGTGAAAGCCCAGACAGCAGCTGAAATCTCTCAGTAGTTCTTCAGCAAACCTCTGAAGTCACATGGAATGTTTTTGATTCAGTTTCTGAACTTTAAATGTTTTTACGACCATTCCTGTCTATAGAGGACGAATTAGCTTTCGAATTACATCTAAAATATATTTATTTGTGGTCAGAGGATGAACGAAGATCTTCAGTGGATTTAAACTACATGAGGGTGAGTAATTAATAACATAATTACAATTTTTTAGGTGAAACAATCTTTTAAAGTTAATAATAATGCTAATAATACTTCCTTTATCATGTATAAACTGCACCCTCAACGTATTGTCAGTAGCCATGTATATGTGATTTGATCTGGGAAAACCTATTGTATGCATGCTAGGATGTTTTCAGGAAGGTAAAAATAAAAAAAGTTGAATTGGGTCAAAATTGGGCTTTCTTTGAATTGTTACTCCTTAACACCCATTTTCGTCTGTCATCTCTGAAAAAATACTTGTAAAATGTACGGTTAGTGCAAAAAAATTGTGATTTTAAGTGAAAATACTTTCTCTAGTTGTATTTAATGTTTAGGAACATGCCAGATGTAAAAGAGAGGAACAAAATCATACATAATTTGGTTTGGTCAGTGACCCAGTAGGAGCCTTGATGTCAAAACTACCAAAAAATATATCAGAACTGCACTGATTTGATGACAATATTACATCAAACTGACATCTAACATTTGCAAAAACTTGACAATTTTTTTTTTCAACTCAGTGATTTTTTATGTTTTTGTTTTTACATCAATGCATTAATAAGTGCATCAGCTGACTGAAATAAAACTTCCAGTTTCATGTGGACTTTAAAAAGGTCATAAATAAAGTCTCATGAAAGCCTCACAAAAAAAAGCCAGCAGCTGGCTCTCTGCAACTCTCACATGGTCACCCACTGAAGCTAAGCAGGGCTGAGCCCAGTCAGTACCTAGATGAGAGACCACATGGGAAAGGTAGGTTGCTGCCGGAAGTCGTGTTAGTGAGACCAGCAGGAGGTGCCAAACCTGTGGTCTGCGTGGGTCCTAATGCCCCAGTATAGTGATGGGGACTCTATACTGCTCAGTGAGTGCCGTCTTTCGGATGAGATGTTAAACCAAGGTCCTGACTCTCTGTGGTCGTTAAAAAGTCCAAAAGAAGATGCCCAGAGGCGATATGAATGTGGAGCTGCTTATTGCTCAGGTGAACAAAAATATGAATCCTGAAAATAGTTTTCGAAAAACGCAGACGATAGACGCAAACAAAAAGCGTCCCGGTGTGTACGAGTCTTAAGGGGCTTCCATAGCAACTGCATATTAATACACTCTCTTACAATTAGTTTGCTATGAGAAAATGATACAGAAAAAAGAAATCCCGCCTGCTACTCGATATTTAATTGCAAGTAGATCAAGGTGCTAAAATATCTCAACTTCCAATTCCGGCGGACTTTCGAGACAAAAAAATCATAAAGTTATGAAAGCATCACAATTTGATTGGAGAAAAAACAAGTTTAATTAAATTTACGTGAATCTAAAAACTGTCACTTTACCTGTATGCATAAAACCTTTTTATTACATCTAATAATAACTATAAATTGAAACCAACATCTTTGAACGCTGCTGTTAACTGCGACTGTCAATGTTGATAATATTATGTGTTTTCATGTAGTACCTGGGAAGACTTCATTGAGGTTGACGGGAGGTTTGTTGGTGTCCACAGTGATCTTGTACTTGGCATTTTTGATGGCTGAGGAAGGGTAACACACTAACCGAAGAGGCAGGCTGAATTTGCACTGAGACACCCGTGGGATTCCTGACAGAGAGAACACAAACAAAAATACACATTAACCTCGTCAAATCATTCAGGTAAATCCACATCACTATTAAATCCACATAACAATTCCACGTTTCACACTCTGAATGCACTGTAAAAGACAAATCTTAACATAACTAACCTTGAATCATTAGTCAAACTGACTAAAACATTAAGGTACCTCATAAACACATTTAGTTGAAAGCTAATAACAGTTTTAACAGTGTAGACGTCATTCCTTTAACCCTAAATTATTAGTTAAACTTAAAAGCACACCAACATGTGTAACACCTAATTTATTCTCTTCCTTTGAGGTGATGCAAAGGAGTTTCTGCTGTTTGAGTTTCAAACAGAATCATTCATTTTCCTTCAACTTATAGTCTCTTATTTATCAGGGGTCGCCACAGCGGAATGAACCGCTAACTATTCCAGCATATGTTTTATGCACCGGTTGCCCTTCCAGCAGCAACCTAGTACTGGGAAACACCCATACATTCTCACATTCACACACACACACTCCCTAGGGCTGTGCAATTAATCGAAAATTTAGTTTGGATTTTTGCTTCTAACAATTACGAAACAACATTAAACAAGATTGAACGATTATTCCATCATATACTGCCACGTTTGGTGCTCTGCAAAGCTCAGTTTCAAGTGAAAATTACTGAAAGCATGTACTGTAATGCAGAGGTTGTCAAAGTGGGGGTCAGGACCTCTTGAGGTCAATGAGAAGAGGTCGCTTAGTGATTTCCAAAACTCAAATAAATTGTATTAAACTATTTGAATTACTATATTTTATTTATAACCCACAGAAAATAGTTAATTGTTGCGTTAAAGAATAAACAACATACAATAAATAGTCATCAGCATAAAATTTTTATATTAAAATGTAATCAAATTAATAAATGACTATAAAAAAACATTATAAGGTTAATAGACTGTTGCATTTTTCGTGTCCTCAATATGCTCATGTTTATATATGTCATAGTTGTGTCTGCAACGTTTATATATTTACAGTAACCACTTTGAAAAATAGGGGTCGCGAGTCACTGACATTTTTATTTTGAGGGTCGCGGGCTGAAAAGTTTGGGAACCCCTGCTGTAATGTAGTGTTTGCAGCATGAGATGCGCATCATTCATTTATGTACATTCGAATCATTCATGTTTTTAAAAGCGCATGCTGTTGTGTATGTGCGCACACTCAGCCTCAGAGAGGAGCAGAGCACACACATCTAGTCATCTTAATTTGAGCGCTTTAAAAGTCAAAAAATGCTAATTTGTGTCAAAACGCGGTGTTTAGTAATAAACAAACAAGCTAAGAATAAAAAGGCATGTGAAACTGAAACCTTAATCAGAACGTTACTGCTCTTAAAGTGACAGCGCATAATATTCTAGCTGCCGACTGTTTTTATCATTATTAATCAAACAACTAAAGGAGAAAATGACTTACTGCTCTTGACTAAAGGACTTTTCTTACAGTGAAGATGCTTCAAGCACAGTTTGTTTCATATCTTTACTCGATTGTTATTATTTCCTTTTCCTTGTTTACAGGGAGGAAAATAACTGTATATATACTGTTGAAATCAGAATTATTAGCCTTCATGAATTATTAGTGACCCTTTTCCCCATATTTTCTGTTCAATAAAATTTTTTTAACCCATTTCTAAACATAATAGTTTTAACAACTCATTTCTAATAACTGATTTCTTTTATCTTTGCCATGATGACAGTAAAGAATATTTTCCCAGATATTTTTCAAGATACAAGCATTCAGCTTAGAGTGCAATTCAAAGGCTTAATTAGGGTAATAAATAGGGCCAGACAGAATCTGGGAATATTTTTTTGCTATTTCTGTGGAGAATTTTGTAAAAAAAAATCTGCGGATTTATGTGGAATTATTTTAGGAGTATCATAACGAAAACCTAACATATGAAATTAAAAATAATACATTTTATTTAATGTTTACAGTACCATGCAAATCCAATAAGATCCACTTAATTGGTAAAACAAGCGAGTTTCTCATATAATACATCTACTAAAAGACAGAAAATATTACTTTACAAACTGTGTTGTAAATAAATCATACAAACATTTTAATCTCACGATTATTATATAACAATTGTGCTAGATAAATATAAATTTACACACATTTACACAAGTAAATACATAGACTCGATTGGCTAAAAGTCTGCGTAAATCTGCAGATTTCTGCGTGCGTGGATTACATGTGGGCCTAGTAATTAGGCAAGTCATTGTATTACAGTAGATTCTTCTGCAGACAATCAAAAATATACATTGCTTAAGGGGGCTAATAATATTGACCTTAAAATAGGTTTCAAAATATTTTAACCTGCTTTTATTCTAGCCAAAATTAAAGGACACCTAGGTTACCCCTTTTTTCAAATTTAATATAAGTCTTTTGCGTCTCTAGAATGTGTACGTAAAGTTTCAGCTCAAAACACCTATCAGAATTTTCATTATACCTTTTACTAGATCCTGTTTTATACATCTTTCCACCAGGGGGTCGTTTTGTCGTACTGCGCCTTTAAGGCGAGTCCTCCCCGCCTACTGTTTCTACGTCTCTGTCAGCCTGCCTTAAATCTCCTCCCTCAGCTGCGTCAGACAACAGACAGACTTAAAGGTAGAAGGTCTCACGCAGCGTTTGTGAGAAAAACTACAGTAAGAATCAATCAATTCAGTGGGCAGGGGGACCAAAATCCTACGTCAAGTTGCGGTCGTTCTGAAAACCGCTCCAATTGATCCACCGTTTTTATGTTGTTAAATTGAAGGGAAAAAAAGGACTGGGTGTGTTTATATCACCCCAATATGACAAACAGCTTGAAAAGCAGATAGGTGCCCTTTAAAAAAATAACTGAGCATAAACACAGGAGGCTGAGAAAAAAGCACATTTTAGAGGAAAATTTTAGGGGGCACTTAGAGGTTTCTGCATCTGAACTCTTGATTTCTTTTAAATATGAAAAAAAATGTTATCAGTTATTTTCATTGTTTATTGACATGAATCATACATACAGAGAAGCTGTAGAGGTGTTCTTTTTGCTTCCAAATCTATATAAACAAAATGTATCTTAACTCCTAATGTTGCAAGTTAAAACACACTAATCATCTTTCTTTTTTTAAAGTATGCCATAACATATTTCAGATTCTCATTTAACGTGATCTTGTTTCGTTTTGTTTTTTACAATAAAACCAAAATCAAGCATAGTTCTGCAACAAGATTATATTTGTTTTGATTTTTTTTGTAAACAAACAGTGCTTTGTGTGTGAGCCATTATTTAAAACAGTCATTATTTAAAACTGTAAAAACATGGTCCCCCGTTTGGTAAAGGGGCAGTCAAAAGGTTAATAAAGCACGATGATGAAACATTACCTAGCTTGAGGCGACTTAAGATTACATTACTAAAATATTATCTTTTACTTTTATTTATTTTTTTACTTCTAAGAGGTTTGGCTGACAAAAACTAAGACATTCTGCTCCAGAACACAGCAGACAGGCATGACATCCACACACCATCCTGTCTGGCAGATAAAGAATAAAATCACCTGTATGACGCTGTAACCCCTCTCCCCCTACTGGACACAGCTACCATTGCAGTATACGTGGATCCTAAATGTTCTGTGTTGTTTTGGGATTTAAACTATTGCTTAACCGATGTGTTGACTTAGAATTCAGTTTATACCGTTTGTCTTCGGGTCAAAAATGTCCTGCCTTAACCGATAAAATTAAATATATACATCTATTTTCAATCCTCAAATCTATTTGCATGAAGAAACAGCCTCATCTTCATCACAAATGCTGTGAATGTCTAGCGTTTTTCCTTTTCACTGTGAAGTTTTTCCATCAGTCATTTCCAACTGAAGTAAAGGGTGTAATTTCTAATGCTAAAAGTGCCTTCATACAGTTAAAGTGAGAATTATTAGCCTTCCTGAAATTTTAGCCCGAACCCCCCCTCTCTGTATGTTTCTTTCCCGTAAAATGGAGAGAAGATTTTTTCAACACATTTCTAAACATAATAGTTTTAATAACTGATTTCTTTTATAGTTGGCATGATGACAGTACATACTATTATACTAGATATTTTTCAAGACACCAGTATAGTGACATTTAAAGGCAAGCAATGTATAATGATGGCTTGTTCTGTAGACAATAAAAAAATATATATAGCTTATAAGGAGCTAATAATATTGACCTTAAAATGTTTCATAAATAATTAAAAACGGTTTTTATTTTAGCCACAATAAAACAACTTTCTCCATAAGAAAAAATATTATCGGAAATACAGTCAGAAATGTTTTGCTCTGTTAAACATTGTTTGGGTTAATAACTTTAACTTCAACTGTAAGTGTAAAGTTTTAGCAAGACAGTAGTATAAAAGTTAAAGCAGCACAGACGGAAGTTCATATAATTAAACAGGAAACAGAAAGCTGCTCATACATCTGATGAGGGATGTAATGAAACATTTGGAACCGAGGAAAATCAGATTCCTCCTAAAAAAGAAAGACGACAAATTGTAAACAATCTGGCAACCTTTTATTGGTTATTCATTCATTCATTCATTAATTGTCTTGTCAGCTTAGTCCCTTTATTAATCCGGGGTCACCACAGCAGAATGAACCGGCAACTTATCCAGTACGATTAACGCAGCGGTTGCCCTTCCAGCCGCAACCCATCTCTGGGAAACATCCACACACACTCATTTACACACACACACACACACACACACACACACACACACACACACACACACACACACACACACACACACACACACACACACAAACACTCATACACTACTGACAATTTAGCCTACCCAATTCACCTGTACCGCATGTCTTTGGACTGTGGGGGAAACTGGAGCACCCGGAGGAAACCCACGCGAATGCAGGGAGAACATGCAAACTCCACAAAGAGAGAGGCGACAGCACTGCATCGCCCCTTTTATGGATTATTTTAAAGACATAAATTGTGCAGGAAATAGTTCAATTGAAGAGGATTAGACTAATTTGATTAAAATTGATGGTCAGTATTTTGCTTTTAGTTTTATTTATTCTTTTTTTGTATTTATTTGAATAATTTGAACTTATTTTGTTTTTAATTTTTATTATTGTATTTTTACTATTTTACTTCTGTATGTATTGTTTGTATATTGTATGTTTTATTGTATGTCAATTGTTCTACGAATGTGTGAATGATGTCTACGAGTGTTTGAATGATTAGAAAAGAAAACAATAAAGAAAGTTTGAAAAAGAAAATAAAAGTTAAAGCAGCAGATTCTTATTGTGCACTGTCATTTTTTTTTATGTTGGGGTAATTTTAGGAAAAGTCCCCAAATTTCAAGGTAAAAAAAACGTTTTTTGTTTTTTTCTGCTGTTAAAATGATCATGTTTGACCCGTAAGCAAACACATATGCAGTCCTTTTGATGACATTAGATTCATTTCTGTCACTCACCTGAAGGGTTGAGCTCTGACAATGGTGGCAGCAAGAAAAGAAAAGAACAGAATACTTAACATTTGCTTTGAACATGTACATGCACATGCACACATCCATCACAATGCAGAGAATAAGACAGTTTGATTGAAAGGACAGAAAAAATAGTCACAGTAGTTTTATAAAGCTACCAGCTATAATCAAAAGCAATGCTTGACACATGAATGCATTTATCAGCATATATAAGAATACAGAGACTCACACAATTCACTTTCCATTAACAAAAAAAAAAAAAACACACAAAAAATTATATTTTATTGTAAAAATATTTGAGTATTTTATTAGTTTGGGTCAGAACCACAGAATATATGAACTCACACAATTTGCTTTCCATTAACAATGAATAAATAAAAAAATATTTATATTTTTTAAATGATTAAAGTCTGAATAAATATTCCCCAAATATACAAATATGTAACAGAATAGGCATTTGTAAATTTTTGTTAAATATGTGTCTATATATGGTTATAATCATTCTGACTTAAATTTAAAATAAAAATACTTGAATAAAAACAAACCACAGAAAAAACATGTCAAATAATTGAATAAACAATCCACATTTATAGTGTATTGCTGTGTATTGATGTACAGTTTATCCAAATTCCCCTAAAATGATCAGCCCTAATGTGAAATTTGAATCATTTTCCAAATATCTGCATGTTTATGAGAATTTTTTTCCACACATTTATAACATAATAGTTTTATGAACTATATTATGAGGATTTATTCATCTTAAAGTACAATTCAAAGGCTCAATTCATAGGCTTAAAAGGTTCAAAAGAGCTAATATTGACCTTAAAAATTAACTAAAATAAAAAATGACATTCTCCAGATGAAAAAGCAGTAATTAAAATAATATAATTAAACTTGATAATTGAAATAATATAAACATCAATTGGAAAATATTTGAAAAATAATTATAATTTGAATTGTATCCCTCCTTAAAAGAGCATAAAAGTATAAAACGCAAATAAAAAAGATTAGGTATAGAGTTTATGGTAATACTGATAAATTTGACACTATTTGGCAACCCTTCCTCTCACATCTAAAAATTGAAGAAAAAAATAAATAAATAAAACATAATCAACATAATAATAAATAAAGCTTACTAATACTACTAATAATAATAATAATAACAATAATAATAAATAATAATAATGATTAAAAACAATAAAAACTATAGCTGATCTATTGTCCCTGCCCCTGGCTTTGTTATGAATTCGAGAGCACAGAAAAATTTAGCATGTTATTTTTTTCTTCCTTTTTTCTTATTTATTTTTTATTTTCTACTGCAGTACCTGTTGCAAATTTGCATTTAAATTTTTTTTCCAGTATTGCTGTATGAACTAATATGTGTCGGTAATCGACCGGAAGTGGTGTTAGTGAGGCCAGCAGGAGGCTCTTAACCTGCGGTTTGTGTGGGTCCTAATGCCCCAGTATAGTGACAAGGACTCTATACTGCTCAGTCAGCGCCGTCTTTCGGATGAGACGTTAAACTGTGGTCGTTACAAATCCCAGGATGTCCTTCGAAAAGAGTATCAAATGAAATCAAATCACTTTTATTGTCACATCAGCAGCAGCACGTGTGCTATGATGAGTGAAAAGCTTAGGATTTACCCTGGCATCCTGGCCTAATTTGCCCACTGGCCTCTGTCCATCATGGCCTCCTAAGCATCCCCATATTATAATTGGCTTCATCACTCCACCAATCAGCTGGTGTGTGGTGTGCTGTCTGGCACAATATGGCTGCCGTTGCGTCATCCAAGTGGGTGCTGCACACTGGTGATGGATGAGGAGATCCCCCCCAAAAATGTGTAAACTGCTTTAAGTGTCCAGAAAAGCGCTATATAAATGTAAGGAATTATTATTATTGGAACAATCGATGATTTTCTTTTGTGTATTTAATACTGTAACTCTCTGACTAATATGCATCAATAAAACAGAGTTAGGGTGCTTTCACACCTACACTTTTTTTTCGGATTGTGTCTCGTTTGCCCAGTTAGCGCGGTTCGTTTGGCATATGTGAACAGGGCAATCGCGCTCTGTTCCGCGCCAAAGTAATCGCTCTGAGATCGCTTGAATGAGGTGGTCTCGGCTCGATTGAAACGAACCCTGGAGCAATTCGATTGCAGTGAGAAAGTGATCCGATCCGAGCGCGGTTATATCACAGTGTTTTATGGATATTTAATTGGCTTACGGCTATATGAAGAGAGAATTATGAGTAGGGCGGGAAGTTTCGCGAGTCTCCGGATGCCCGCAAACGAGTGATGATCTCCCGGTAATCTCGCGTCTCTCTCCCAGCCCTCAAATAGGCATCGTCGCGCACCCTTCTCACCCCTCCCCACCGCATCTCTCCTCAGACATGTCACGCGCGCGCACCCTGTCAATCACCACCAAACCACCACCTCTCCTGACAGCTGAGCGGGACGCTGCAAAATAAACCCTGACACTCTGACCAATGTAAGGAGAGTTTACTCGCACGTGACTTGTTTTAGCTCTTTTGGTCCGATTAGAAACTTTGCAATGTGAAAGCGAACCGCTCCAAGAGCAAAGAGCAACAATGTAACAATTTTAATCTCTGTTTCAGAACAACTGAATCGATTCACAGGTGTGAAAGCACCCTTAAACTAAAAGGATAAAAAGCCAAAAAAGAGAAAGTAAATACACAAAATGAACAATTTCAAGTTGTGTTGTTTTGAAAAGAAGTCACTAAACCTGCATTTATTTCATATCAAACCCAGTTAAAAAAAAACTGTATCATACAGAAATTGATTCATTTTCCTTCAGCTTAGTCTGTTATTTATCAGGGGTCGCCACAGCGGAATAAACCACCAACTTATCCAGCATATGTTTTACACAGCGGATGCTCTTCCAGCTGCAACCCAGTACTGGGAAATACCCATGCACATTCACACATACTTATACACTACGGCAAATTTAGCTTATTTAGTTTCCCTATAGCAGGGGTCACCAATCTCGTTCCTGGAGGTCCGGTGCCCTGCAGGGTTTAGCTCCAACTTGTCTCAACACACCTGCCTGGGTGTTTCAAGTATACCCATTAAGACCTTGATTAGCTTCTTCAGGTGTGTTTGATTAGGGTTGGAGCTAAAATCTGCAGGACACCGGACCTCCAGGAACAAGTTTGGTGATCCCTGATCCATAGTACACGTCTTTGGACACAGGGGGGAAATCGGAGCACCCGGATGAAACTCACGTGAACACAGGGAGAACATGCAAACTCCACACAGAAACGATAACTGGCCCAGCCAGGACTCGAACCAGTGACCTTCTTGCTGAGAGGCGACAGTGCTTTCCACTGTATTGCAATTTTAAAGAACCGGTCTCTATTTAAACTTAAAGCTGAATTTTCAGCATTTAACATCCCTCCAGTTCTACAATGTCACACAATCCTTCAGAAATGCATATGTTTTTATACATCCTTTTTTTGTCCCTGTTGATTTTAAAGTGAAACGTGACCCTGAGGTGTTTCATGAGACCCGACCGAAAAGCTTTTACCAAACCCACAGTAGTTATTCCACTGACTGCATCTGCGCACTTTATGAAATATGAGCTATAAGCTGGAAGTGTTTGAGATACACCTCAGCTTCCAGGTCTAAATGTGGCATTAGTCTCCCTTCAGAGTTCCCGCTCCATTTACGTAAAGCTCAAGTTATCTCTGTGTAAACATCAGCAAAAAAACGCACCCTAACCAGCTAACCTCATCGTCCATGTCAGCAGCGACGGCTCTGTTTACTTAAAGAGAGGAACAGCCATTACTGCCCAGAAAAGGCACTTTAAGCGGTGGCTACATCAGTCATCTAAACCACACTCCCAAAAACACGCTCTGCATTCCACATGTTCTCAAGAGCTATTCCTGCTGTTACTACACAAATACTGCTCCATCTGAGCCGCACGCACTTTTACGACACACACACACAAAATCTCCGGGATGGATTTAAACATCAGAAGAGCGACCTGAGAGCACTGCGTTTGCATTGTAAAAATCCAAAATGTGCTTATCTGTGCATGTCATTACTTTATAAAGGTGCTGTATGTAAGTTTTTGACTCTTCTAAAGCGAATACTATAACATGTTTGCAGATATTTAACAAACATGCAAAGTAAACATTCTTCTTTACCTGCAAAACAAGGCTGAAGTCAGATATTCTGCTTTGAAAATGTGTTTTCTGTGCCGGAACATCTGTATTTATTTTGGTTCTTTTAACCCATCCAATGCCATTTGAGCCAATTATACTTCAGCAAATTGTAAAATTGTGATATGCTGTTGCACTATAAAATAACTATTTAAAACAGCTTATCATTTAATTTAATAATGTATTCCAGTGATTTTAAAGATGAGATTTCAGCTTGATTACTCCAGTCTTCAGAGTCACATGATCCTTCAGAAATCACTCTAATATTAATTGTTATTGTTATTATTATTAATGGTAATAGTAATAAAAGCAATAATGTCTGGATTTTTTTTTTTTAAACTGCATACGATAAGAAAGCAATTATTTAAAATTGTAATTAATTTTTAAAAACTTTTACATTTAATGAACTTAATGAACTGAATAATTTTCATTAAAAAAAACATGAAAAAAAAAGAATAAAACTGACCCCAAACTCAATTATGTTTGGCTTTTGAAAAATTATTTAAAATATTGTATGTGGCTAAGAAAAAGCTATTAACATCTTTTGTTTGGTGGGTACAGTGACAATTTTGGCAGGGCAAGTAAAAATCTCAACCCAAGCTCATTCTGAAAACGTAGCCCCACGGACGTTTCTGTAGACTGCAATTTACGTGGCTGGAGGTATGTATGGCTGCATTACGTTTTCTTCAAGCGAACGCTACAGGGCGGTGTGACGGCGCTCCTCTTCGTGCTCGCCGGCTGGGCTGACGGCTCAATTCCTCCGTGTGGAGGGTTTTCCCGCCGCAACCAGTTTGTCCGGTTAGCTTGTCATGTTACATCGGCGGAGTGGAGGCCCGGAGGAGGAGGAGGAGGAGCCAGCCGTGTTCGATGACCAGGTTCGAGTTCGGGGAAGAGCGGTTACAGAAATCAGGTAAGACAAAAAACAAAATCCAAAAAACAAAGCGAACGAGTTCGTAACGGGGCCAGAATGCGGCGAAATCCGAAAACAGGGTCAAAATCGGACGAGGGCTTTTCTTTTTCATTGTAATTTTTTTTTGTAAATCGTCGCTTGGGTTTAGGAAAGAAGGAGGAGGAGGGTGGCTGTGTCAGCCGATTGGCTGGCGGCCCAGTCAATCGTTCAGTCATTCGGTCAGTCGGATAGACGGTTGCTCGACAGCGGCCTCCAGCGGCTTTTTACACAAGAACAGCGCACTCGCGAAAGGCGATCGAGACGCGAAAAAGCGCACACAGTGGCCTCTCACGGATACGCGAAAAAAAAACTACACAAATACGTACCTCCCGGGACGTATTTCAGGGTCTCCAGAAACGTCTGCGGGCTACGTTTCCAGAATTAGCCTGGGTTGAAAAATCTGAACCACTGGCCCGATCGGGCTAGAAGAAAAAATCCTTAGCGTTGGACCCTGTACCAATTGTAAACATTTTTCCACTTGTTAAACAGACTTTTGCATCAAACTGTATTGATGAGAACCAGTGTTGATAAGTGGTATCAGAAAATCTACCAATATAGAAATAATCTTAAAGATACTCATATCCCTACGCAATGATGGCTGAACATTATATACAATATTATTGTTTTAATCTACAATTACCAACTGTAAATAATGTTCAATTGGTTGGACAACTGATTGCATCACTTCATAAAACCTCAACAGATCATATGAAGCCACGGGTATTGCGGTCAAAATCCTACTTAATGTTTTAGTTAGTTGGCTGGCATAAGAGTAAAATAACACAATTGCATTTTTGTGTGTGCTATCCCTTTAGAGCCCCATATCCCGAGCGCCTGTTATTGCAGAGACAAATTCCCAGCATTAAAGAGAAGGAGATGAATGGAAAGAGGAAAATAAACGGAGTGCCATTATACCCAATGGAGTAAGTGGGGTTTCCCCAAGTCTGAGTAGTATGTATGTCTGTGTTTCATTTTAAAAGGTCATCATTTTTATACCGTTCTAGAAAATTCTAGTGAACACTCACACTGTTTGGATGTAGAAACCAACTGTATATTCCACACTGCATTGATCAATTTTGGAGACAAAACTGTTCCATTGACATTGGAAACGTTCCTCTACTTTCTTATGGCATTAGGGTTTGGATTAGTCTTTGGTCAGTAAAATTAGCTTCCTATAAAAACATTAAGAGTCTATGGTATGTCCTGGTATACCTAGAGTAACTTTTGTGTGTGTGTGTGTGTGTGTGTGTGTATGTGCGCTCCTACCTGTGATCTAATGCGTTAAACAGACTCACTATTTTCAGACGGACAGAAAGAAAAGGAGAACCAGAGAAAAGGGAAACTCCCGGATATTTTCAAGAAGTTTTCCAGCGGTCTCTGCCAACACAGACACACCATCCAAGAGAAACGCCAGCACAAACGCAGCCTTTCTGCTGCTTTTTTCTGCTCTGGCAAACGTCCAGACATCTTGAAATGAGTAAAAGGACTTAAAGACGTGAGGAAAGAGGGTAATGTGTTCCAGAGCTCAGACAAACAGAGCGTGGGAGTGTTGATGAGGAGCTCGTACCTGTAGCTGAGCTGTAGGACACGGCGATGTCTCCGCTCATATCCGCTGGAGGATAGAGGCCGTTCAGAAACGCTGAGAAGCTCACCACTAACTCACTGCCACTGCCTGTCAAACAAACACACAAACACACTGGATGTTTAGAAAGGCTTGTCTGTGCAACATAAATATTACATCTTTTTATTAGTGTGGCAAATTGATACAAACTGCATTGGATTATTCAGATTAGGGGTTCATTTTACTTTAAAAAAAGAGTCAAAAACATTTCACATTGTATTATTGAGTGAATATTATTGCTTAGTCACTTTAGATTTTTGGGTTCATTTAAACATACATTACCTGACAAAAGTAGTGTTGCCTATCCAAGTTTTAAGAGCAACAAATAATAACTTGACTTCTAATTGATCATTTGGTATCAGAAGAGGTCTATATGAAAGGTAAATGCCTCTAGATTACACTTATTTTACCAAAATAAAATATGATCATGCCTTGATTTTTAATTATTTACTTAGGACAGTAAGGTCTGACTTTGCTTAGACAAAAGTGTTGTTACTTAACAGAAATAATGTACAGTAGAGAATATAAAGTCATGCTGCAGTGGAAAAATAATTAATATTGTGTAGGACTCCCACAGTGACTCAAATAACTTATTAATAAAGTCATCTGGAATGGCAAAGAAAGCGTTCTTGCAGGACTCCCAGTTTCTTTGGATTCATCTTCAATGCCTCCTCCTTCATCTTACTCCCGACATATTCAATAATGTTCATATCTGGTGACTGGGCTGGCCAACCCTGAAGCACATGACCTTCTTTGCTTTCAGGAACTTTGATGTGAAGGGTGAAGTATGAGAAGGAGCGCTATCCTGCTGAAGAATTTGCCCTCTCCTGTGGTTTGTAATGTAATGGGCAGCACAAATGTCTCGATACCTCAGGCTGTTGCTATGCAGATCCCTCGCACACCCCATACTGATACACAACCCCAAACCATGATTTTTCCATCACCAAACTTGACCGATTTCTTTGGGAATCTGAATCTTGTCTCCATGTGGGTTTCAATGGGTCTTCTGCAGAATTTGTGCAGTTCAACAGATGATTCATGGAAAAATCCACCGTCTGCCACTTCTCCAAAGTCAAGATATTATTTGTTGCTCTTACAACTGAGATCAACGACAAGACTTTTGTCAGGTAGTATACATGTGAGATTTTATATCTCAATATACTTATACATTTTAAGATCCTTTTTAAACTTCTAATCTTTTAAATGAGATTTGTTGTTGCTAAACATTTGCCTATATTTATATATATATAAATAAATAAATATATATATATATATATATATATATATATATATATATATATATATACATATATACATATATACATATATACAATGATTCATTATGAATAAGAGTGCTTTCACACCTGTGAATCATTTTTTCTGAAACAGAGATTAAAATTGTTACATTGTTGCTCTTTGTTCTTGGTGCGGTGTATTGTTTTCACTTGTGAAACACTGTGATTCATTCGGCAACTGTTTGATATGTGATTATAATTCAGTAAAAGGAATGTTAGAATCGTATGAGCACCGGCAAGAGCTTTCATTTGAGCTAAAACTTGTACATATGTCATATATGAACCATATGAAAATGAACCAATGTTCAATACCCAGCTCGGGTATCCAAAATACTGTGTATTTAGGTATAAATAACTTTTGTACAGTAGAATAAAAACCGAAGTGATGCATATTTGCATAAAATATAGATTCTACACTTTCAAACAAAACCACTTACGGGGGTCTGGTGTAATGCTAGCCCTTTAAATCTTAAAGCGAAAGTCGATGACATCCAGAGTTTAACTGGTTATGAATATTAATGCACATATTGTAAAGTATAACCACAAAAACTCTAAAGAAGATATTGGTAAATGAGGCCCAATTTTATTTCCACTAATAGATCAGCTCTGCTAATAAAATACACTAAACACATTCCACTAGAGTGGTTTTACCACAGTTAACAAGACAGCTTAATATGCAGCTTTGTTTTTATGTGTTATCTCTAAGTCTCTAGTAAGGTGATCTGCTTCAGCTTTAGTGTTTTGTGTGTCCACAGTGAGTCGCATTCACACAGGTGACTGAACCGCAGTAATGCCTGATTGCTGAGCACTTAGATTAAGTGTCTGGCCCCCCCAGAACACACACACACAAACCCCCTCCCGGAACACACCACGTCTGTCCTCCTGTCACTCACACACTCCCTCTGTCTGTGCTACTATCAGCTCATCGGGCCACAGCACTTTCTGTTGGCTTCTAAAAGCTCTCTCTCTCTCTCTCTCTCTCTCTCTCTCTCTCTGTCTCTCTCTCTCTCTCTTTCTCTCTGTGAGGGCAGGCTTTTAACCTTTCCGTCTCACTGCCGTGGGCAAACACTAGACCATCAGGCTCTCTCTCTCTCTCATCCAGTGAACGACACACAAGTCCAGCCACCATGATGTTGGCGTCAGTTTGAGTTGGCAGAAAGCATGACCTCCCCCTCTTTTTACTTTTAACCGTCTAGCTTCTAGGTGGTTAAATTAAGGCCATTTGTGCTGACCTCACTTGACCTGCGCTGACAGTAGCCCACCCCTGGAATTTAAGAGGCGCATTAGAAACACCCGCAATGCAGAACACACACAGCACAAAAGCACTTAGAGAAGAATTCCTTTGACAAATGCAGCTAGACGCACGGTGAGTGTGAGCTGTGGAGATTACAGCGGGCTCTTCTAAGGGTCTCTGACCTGTAGGGCATGTAGAAGTTCTGCCCTCTCAGCACTTACACTCACTTTTGATCTGTTAAGCTGAGGTCGCGCTCAAAGTTTAGTGTCAGATTAAGATCTTAATAACTTGTCAAAAGACCAAATAACAGTTAAAGTTTTAAAATGTCAGGCCAAATCTGATTTTAGTGGATGTACTATTGGGAGTCTGATTCTATTCTACAATGACGACGACAACGACAACCACTACTACGAGTATGACTACAACTACAATGACAACGACTACTACAACGATGACTACGACCACTACTACGACTATTACTATGAACAGGACTAAGACTACTTCTACTACGATCACTACTATTACAACTACGACTACTACAACGACGACTACTACTACTACAATGATGACAACGACTATGACTACTATGACAACCACTACTACTACTAAGGACGACTATGACTACTACTACGACGACTAAACTACTACTATGATGACTACTACGATGACGACTACTACAACAAGTATGACTACAACTACTACGACCACGACAACAACTACTAGAACTATGGCGACTACTACAACGATGACTACAACCACTATTACGACTACGACTACTACGATCACTAATACGACTACTATTATGCCTACGACTACTACAACAACGCCTACAACGACTACTACTACTATTACGACTACTACTACTACAACGATGACTACGACTATGACTACTACTACTACTATAAGTCCAATGACTACGACTATGACTACTACTATTACTATACTACGACTAGACTACTACTGTGACGACTACTACGATTACGACTACTACTACTACTACACTACTAATACAGCTACGACTACAACAACTACTACCTCGACTACAGCAAATTTTACTACTAATATTACTACAACGATGACTACGACTATAACTACTACGACTACTTCTACTACTCTAAAGACAATGACTGACAACTATTACGACTACGTCTACTACGACTAGACTACTACTATGATTTTTTTGTTTGTTATTTCTGTTGAAAAGAAAGGAAGATAATTTGAAAAATGTTGTAAACCTTAATGTATCCTTAAGAGCGACAGGGATCAATTTGAACTTGTTTGCATGAGTTTATTTTTATTCTCAAAATGGGTAACCATTGACGTCCATTATACAAATCACCACAGATTCAGCTAAAAATCATCTTTGATGTTCTACTAAAAGAAGAAAAAAGTCTGATTGTGGCCTGAGGGTGAGTAAATGAACTGTGTATTATAATTTTTGGACTAACTATCCTCTTAATTACGATAGTCTTGAAGTGGCTTAAGACTGAAGGATGTGGCACTCAGATCTCAACAGCATCTGACGTGTCCATCACAGCTGAGGAGGTTAAGAGTGATCTGTCAGTCACAGCTGAACTTGATGAAGAAGACACATGGAGTTTCCAAACTGAACACATACTGAGCGCCACTCCAAACACACAAGAGATATATACGGTCATGTGCTGTTGATCCGAGAAACAAACACTCCTAATTAGACCAATGCTTAGCAGTCCCCTTGGGCGCGTTTCCGCAGTTCTGCTGTTATATATTTAATGCATCTAATCCAGGCTTAGTTCACTCCAGAAAATGAAGCATCTGTCATCATTTAAAGCCCTTGTTTTGCTCTAAATCCAAAATGCTTTCTTCATATTATGAACAAATGAAGATCTTTTTAAGGAAACCGATGAGAATTCTGCTCTTCTATTCCAATTATGCTTGTGCAAATGCTTCGGGCTTTAAAACGTTGGGTTTGATTACTATTTTATGAAGTGATCTAAAAGCTTGGTCTGTGCCAAAAACACACACACACACACACACACACACACACACACACACACACACACACACACACACACACACACTCACACAAATAATGAGAGAATACCTGAACTTCCACATACAGACAAAAGAGATCACTTTAAAGTTATTATCAGTTCTCTGCATTAAGTAATTAATAGGTATGTGTTTGAGTAAATTGTATTTTATAAACTGATCATGTCTATTAAATATTTTAAATATGAGTATTATTTTTTAGAGAATTTGTTTACAGAATTTGACAATAGGTCAATAGAAACGGTTCCATGTTTTCAGATCCTTAAATTGAGGGGAGAAACATGAAGACAAATTAAATTTAAATAAATTAAATAAAAAATTATAAATAATAAAACATTCAATTAAACTAGATAATAAAGTTTGAGGACAAACTTAATGGTGGCTTGAAAAGGCCTGATAGAAGAAGTTTATTTAGTTTGAAAAAGTATCAGATTGGCTAAAAGAATGTTTAAGATCCCTGCAGTCAACAATGTAACCACTGTAAAGACTAA